GTAAGGCTGTACTGCGGTGGTGGAGGTGTCACACCTGTTCATGTTACAGATGTATGAATGTAAGGCTGTACTGCGGTGGTGGAGGTGTCACACCTGTACATGTTACAGATGTATGAATGTAAGGCTGTACTGAGGTGGTGGAGGTGTCACACCTGTACATGTTACAGATGTATGAATGTAAGGCTGTACTGAGGTGGTGGAGGTGTCACACCTGTACATGTTACAGATGTATGAATGTAAGGCTGTACTGGGGTGGTGGAGGTGTCACACCGGTACATGTTACAGATGTATGAATGTAAGGCTGTACTGGGGTGGTGGAGGTGTCACACCTGTACATGTTACAGATGTATGAATGTAAGGCTGTACTGCGGTGGTGGAGGTGTCACACCTGTACATGTTACAGATGTATGAATGTAAGGCTGTACTGGGGTGGTGGAGGTGTCACACCTGTACATGTTACAGATGTATGAATGTGAGGCTGTACTGCGGTGGTGGAGGTGTCACACCTGTTCATGTTACAGATGTATGAATGTAAGGCTGTACTGCGGTGGTGGAGGTGTCACACCTGTACATGTTACAGATGTATGAATGTAAGGCTGTACTGGGGTGGTGGAGGCGTCACGCCTGTTCATGTTACAGATGTATGAATGTAAGGCTGTACTGCGGTGGTGGAGGTGTCACACCGGTACATGTTACAGATGTATGAATGTAAGGCTGTACTGAGGTGATAGAGATGTCACACCTGTACATGTTACAGATGTATGAATGTGAGGCTGTACTGGGGTGGTGGAGGTGTCACACCTGTACATGTTACAGATGTATGAATGTAAGGCTGTACTGGGGTGGTGGAGGTGTCACACCTGTACATGTTACAGATGTATGAATGTAAGGCTGTACTGGGGGCTGTACTGGGTGGAGGAGGTGTCACACCTGTACATGTTACAGATGTATGAATGTAAGGCTGTACTGAGGTGGTGGATAGAGATGTCACACCTGTACATGTTACAGATGTATGAATGTAAGGCTGTACTGGGGTGGTGGAGGTGTCACACCTGTACATGTTACAGATGTATGAATGTAAGGCTGTACTGGGGTGGTGGAGGTGTCACACCTGTACATGTTACAGATGTATGAATGTAAGGCTGTACTGGGGTGGTGGAGGTGTCACACCTGTACATGTTACAGATGTATGAATGTAAGGCTGTACTGGGGTGGTGGAGGTGTCACACCTGTACATGTTACAGATGTATGAATGTAAGGCTGTACTGAGGTGGTGGAGGTGTCACACCCTGTACATGTACATGTTACAGATGTATGAATGTACAGGCATGTTACAGATATGTACTGGGGCTGTGGTGGTGGAGGTGTCACACCTGTACATGTTACAGATGTATGAATGTAAGGCTGTACTGCGGTGGTGGAGGTGTCACACCGGTACATGTTACAGATGTATGAATGTAAGGCTGTACTGAGGTGATAGAGATGTCACACCTGTACATGTTACAGATGTATGAATGTAAGGCTGTACTGAAGTGGTGCAGGTGTCACACCTCTACATGTTCTTTATGCACATTGTGCTTTCTAAATACCTGTACGATTCCACTGCTGCGTTAGAGTTCAGTAATACATGAATGAATTACACGTATGCCGTCTTGTTGATTTGTTCTTTTTCACTTTGTTTCATCTGTGTATCTGCCATATGTTTGCCTTGTTTTACATTGAAACCAGTCTTAAGGATCCCCTATGTGCTAGGTTCATAACATTGATGAAAATTTCGGCTTGGTGACGTTTGGAGGCAAGGGGAAAGTTTCAAAACACTTAAAACACTTATCTCTAATTAGGAGATAATCCTATTGTGTTTACATTTTGGAAATTATTATAGTTGGTTGAACGCTGCTAAATGTTTCATTTAAAACCGAACGAAAACATTTAGCAGCGATTATCTCCATTCTACCATCACATATGCACCATGAATAAAACGCTATTTAAATATGCACTCATTACCCTTGCGTAGTGCTTTGACACTATGCACAGTGAACCGGCTCTCAGAAGTGGTTATTGAAAATTTTCACTTCTAATTTTTTAGTGACAGCCAATCAAAAACGAACTTAAATGGTAGAATGCCTATTGAAATCAATGTATATAACTGACTGACTGACTGAGTTTGGTTTTACGCCGCTTTTAGCAATATTCCAGCAACATCACGGCGGGGGACACCAGAAATGGGCTTCACACATTGTACCCATGTGGGGATTCGAACCCGGGTCTTTGGCGTGACGAGCCGCCCCATGTATATAACTAATCACATACCGATTGTAGAAACATTCATTTATATATTATTCTACCATGACATTTAATTATGTTCGGTTTTAAATGACATTTAGCAACGTTCAACCAACTATAATCACTTCCAAATTGTAAACACAATAGGATTATCTCCTAATTACGACCTTTATATAGAAGTTGTATATCCTTAAAATTATTATCATTCTATGTCACCTCAACTTCTAACATGCCCATCAAAGAAACTGAGAAGGTTTTTGTTTTCACCAAACTGTCAACTATTGCTGTTTGCTACATGGTCTGCCGTTATTGTAAAACAAATGACAAATATATGGCAAAATAGACAGACCAAGCAATGTTCACAGCACAACAATCCAGTCAATCAGCATGTGTATGATATCATCCTGTCCCAAGGAATGAGCAGTCGTTAACTCTGCCCCATCCCTGGCATTAGCTGGCCATTCACGGGTTTAAGGCAACACTCTTGCCCCAACCCAGGGAATGAGCAATTCCAGGAATTGGCCCCGACAAAATTATCAATTATATACAAACACTAATTCTGCATGTGCCCTTATTGCAACAGGTTTCTTATCACTACAATCAACAATTTAACGGTAATCCGCTTCACAAAGACCTGTGTACTGTGTTGTTATGCAGTTGAGATTGGGTATTCTAACTTCCTTGTACTTTATCTCTCACGACACTACAGACATGACATAGATGAGCACAGCCTATCGCACACAGCCGCGTGGCAATGTTATCAATACATCTACATTGTACGTACTTCACCCATTCTGATCTAGGTCTGATCTTCCAACTACGTGCATAATTTTAAGAGTGACTCAGGACACGCTACACTCTACAAAATGAGACTGACATAGTGGATAAGGTAATTGCTGACAACAGAAATTCAATTGGACTCCACTTGAGATATGATGGGATACTTTCCATACTCAATCAGCACTTATGTAGGTCCAAACTAAAATGTAGTATAACGTCTTGCCATAATCAATGAATCAGTTATTTTATTCAGTTGAAAGGCTTTAGGCTCACATGTTGCAGTTTAACGAACTTGTGAGTGGCTCACAGCAATTATAGTTGATTAAGTTTATGGCATATTTGAAAACCAGGAACTAAAGGTTACATGCAGGGTATGTTGTCGGTGTATGCCACATGTTTCTAATCATGCTGACAAGTATTGTGGCTTTGATGGGAAAGTCCTCTATAACTGTTCTGGATAAAAATTGTAGTTTGGTTACAGCACTGCAATGAGGCACAGCCTGAGGAAATCTGGCAGAATGGCTTAAGATACCAATAAAACCCATTTTCCAATATTCATTCTCCTTTCAGCTCACGAAGTTCCGCGTGACTTAAAACTGAAAATATAAAGAACAAAGAAAGTCAGTTCCGTATGCTTAAACACATACATGTTCATATATGTTGATATATTTATACACTGGTTTCGGAATAGTTATGAGTGAGTTAAAGATTAAACGTCCTGTAAACATTAACTGATAACTAAAGGATGTTTGACCTGATCGTTTGACTGCACAACTAGATCCACTTCCAACGTCTTTCTCAACCATGGGATGTTAAAAGAGAACACGAACACTGTAACCAAGCAGAGGGCTTGAATTACAAACTTTGTGTGCATAAACTTATTTAAAATTAAGATAACTTGTAGCATTATCTGGAATACAAATGTAGTAGAACTTAACAAACAAAAGTCAAGAGGAATGATACGCTCTATAGTTTACCTGTATGTACAAATGATTAATACTGGATGATGCCCAAACTTGGAGTAACTTTTCCAGTTTGAGGCTTAATGCGTGGGCCTATTTTTACAATTCAATGCGTGAAAAATGCTTACGTATACTCAAATCTGCAGGGGCAACGACAACATAATGTTGAGGGGAACGTTATCTATAATCTATACTGATTTACAGCCAAACCAAATCTGAAAACAACTGTATAGATGCACCTACCTCTTTCCTTCCTTCTGTAGGACACATGACCCTAAGGGCTTCCTGGTGAACTCTTTCTCCAGTTTGTCCCCATATGAGTCACTGTACAGGTGCCACTTCGCTTTGTCATCTTGCCACTGCCAGACTATATTGGGCCTTTCTTCTGTTGCTGTTGCATACCCCACTTCACCGACTGTATCAGGATAAAAAGAGCGTTTACATCTGTTGAACATACGGATGTTGTTGGTATTCAGCCAATATATATATTTTATCTTATGGGACACATATAAGGTGTAAATGTTAGTCATCCAGTGAATAATTTTCAGTGATGTTCAATGTGTGATACAATGCTCTAGGGATAATTTAATTACCATCTTTGGTGCTTGTTCTGTCTCTACTGGTAGTAACATCTTGGGAACTGCTTCGTACTTTCATGAAATCGGCAGGTTCACTGTACAAAGGCAGACTGACAATTATCAGCATTCAAATGTTTATGTATTAGACACTCACGTGTCTAATGTATGACACAAGGTTTCTTACACTGATGCGTTTATTTTTTGACAGAGACGTGGAAGCACATACCAGACAGCAACGTCCATTTTCCCGTCCAATCCATATCTGTACTTATTTAGATTTCCATTTTGCCACTTTACCTGCAAACATTTCAATGGTAATAGTGTAAAAGGGTTCACACGATGCAGAAATTAGATGGACAATTCCCAAATAAAAATGGAATAATGCGTGAACTTATCTTCAAATATTGCCTTGTCCCATACCTTCACAACACCATCCTCACGTTTTCTAATGACAACTCCGGTACTCCCTTCGCCGCCATCTTGATCTCCGTAGGACCAGTTCACTCCTACACGGGAACAGAACAAGGACAACCTAACACGTGGCTGTACAGAGGAAATTCATTGAAGTATCCCAACGAGAACATACATCTAAATGATACTTCTACAACAATGACTGTCACTTAATGATTGTAAAAGCATGTCAAACCTCGTTTGACCCTGACTCCGATTTCTATGAATTCATCCTGCAGCAAGAAGCGTGGCTGGTCCTCTACTTCGACGACGTCCATTTTCCCATCATGGCCATACCTGTACCGGCAGCAGACGCCGTTGACGTCCCACAACACCCATAGCATATCTGCATTAAGTAATGGCGGTCGTATGTAGGATGCCGTGATTTGAGGCTAATGCTTCTTCAAAATTTATGAGAGGTGTCGTTTTTAAATAATACAATCGGACGATTTATGATGAATATTTATTGTTGAGTTTCTGATAATGCTTTGATTTAGCTTTGGATTGTAAAAGATCATGGTCTTGAATAAATATGTTCTTACATCTGTCATTCGCGTGATTGACGATAGTCCCGGGTCCTTCACAGTCTTGGTTTTCATACTGCCAATCAAGACCTCGGACAACTCGAGTACCAAGGGGAGGCAACTCACTCATTTCATGTACATTGTCGAAATCGGTACACATTTCATCCGGATCTGGTACTTCACAAAAGGCGAGTTTTTGTTGAACACCTTGGATAACAAAATCCTGAAAGAGAGAAGATAAAGTTGCAATATTTAATAACATGCGAATGAACCCAGGAAAATGATTACATGTATCTTACACTTGTCATATATATAAACCTTTCATATTAACCCTTACCCTATCCTCTTCGTCCATGTCTCCAGTCAGTGCTCCGACAACCTGTTGAATTGTCTCTGGCGTTTCTCCGAACTTGCCTTTTTTTAAATAGTTGTAGATTTGACCTATGTTGTACTGAAAAAGATATCCACAATGTTTTAGAAAATGGCAATATTCTGAACACACTGTCACTGTAAATATATTGGGGACATTGAAAGCTAAATGCATCAATTTATTGTGTTGCACAAAATTCGAGCCATACAGTATCAGAAGATTTGTTGTTGTTGTTGTTGTTGTTGTTTTTTTTTGGCTTTTTTATTGTTGTTGCTTTCAGTACAATATAGTACAATATCCATACAACTGGATATTAAAGAACATACATATATTCATGATTGAGAGAGGACAAAATAAGAGAGGACATAAGTTGGTTGTGTGAATAAAGTACAAAGACAAATATATAGGAAAGTAGGCAAGTGGAACCAGGAGAGAGGTGATCATACATTGGTTTGGTTTGTACCAATCTAAATTTGTAGGCGAAGGTTGGGGGTGGGGGCATTTTTCTGCCAATTTGGTAATGTCTCCTGAAATGAATTTTTCTATGTTGTGATTATGGTATTATTTGCGTAAATATGGGAACTGTCTTGTTGTAATGACAATTATATAGCGCTTGGTTCTAATAAGGTGTTTTTCAGGGATATTCATCCTTGGATCGCCAAGACGGTAATTATTCATAGTTAGGTCTAACTTTATATAGGTTCTACTTCCTTCCAAAAATTGAACTAATTTATCATAATTTGATCGTTTCGACAGGGAAAAATAAATATTCTTGTCTTTCAAAATGTACAAAGGTTATCCTCTATCAATCCTTTTTGAAAAAAGGATTTTGATGGTATGATACGATGGATGAGTTTATATTGGAAATTCCAATTCTAGGGAAAGGTAATTTTCTGATATATGTGCATCTAACTTTGAGCTCCATTTAGAATTATGATCCTGAAGAGAACAAATACCATCATCATTACGGATCAGTTTATAAATAAATATGCAATCTGGCGATGAGATAAAGTCCCTGAACCCATGAGTTGGGTATAATGCTGAACAATCTGAAACAGGTAATGAACATTTCATATAATCTGAAGCCGCATTTCAAGACATTGAGTTCTTTGAAGTGTCCCCAATCAATCATTAGGTCCCGAATATATCTAATTCCACACTGATACCGTTTAATGTATGTTTTGATATCTTCATATGGAACGAAATTCATGAAGGGGAGATTTCTTAATTCGTCAATATTTCCAATCTCGCATAATTGCAACTTATTAGAAATAATTAAATCATCTTTCCTAATATCACGATTAATGTCTTTAATCAGCCTGTTTAATTGATGGTTTGGGAAATTCAGGATATCCTTATTATCATCGAACATCTTGCCAGCTGTTTTTCTGTCTGGCGTTTAATCCATTTCAGTTTCGTGTATTCACAAAAAGCCTCAACATCAAAAATGCCAAGTCCCCCTTCTGAATGATCATTGATCAACACTTTTCTTTTTATATTTTATCTCGTTTTATGTTTCAACAAGATTGAGTTTAAGGGAAACCAAGTTCTATGGATAGTCACCTTCTCTATTGCAATGAGTGCGACGTTTCATCACTTGCTTGATAACGGTGTTAGTACCTACACCGAAACGTCGCACTCATTGCAATAAAGAAGTTGACTATCCATAGAATTTGGTTTCAAATTTCCTTTATCCATACAACTTCTAAAATGCCTCTAAAAGAAGATTGTGTTTAGCGATTTAAAGAAGGTTGGTTTTGTCCGGCAATGGCAGAGCTGAAAATGGATGTGTAAATAGAGGGATTATTTGTGATTTGATAATTGTTATTTTACAATAGTTCATTATATCATATAATATTCTTGTATTTTCCCTAGTGAAACGGTCCTTAAGAAAGCCCGTTTGCATTTCCCTAATAATATACATTTAATAAAGTTATTGGGTGCCAGCTTTTTGTAAATATCGCCTGTCCCTGTTTTCTTTAGAAAAGCAGGTTATTGTGTCCTGATTTTGAAAATTTGACGAAGTTCCAATATAGAAAGCATGTGTTATAGATCTAAGGAAAATAATTCCAATATCTGCCCAGAAGAACTTATAGAATTCTGCTGGAAAATTGTCTGATCCTGGACTCTTTCGATTTTTCATAATTTTTTAAACAAAGGCAAATTTGTTAAGCGTCAAAGGCCCCTCACAGCTATTTCTCTCATTCTGATTTAATTTGACATCAATATTGGTAAACTGGCGTGCATAGTATTCCCAGTTGGTATCAGAACTATACAGGTGTTTTGTTATATTTTGAAGTGTCAGTATCAGAAAGATTGCCATTATTAAAGACACGCAACAGTGGAAGCGGTCAAACGTACCATGTTATGCAAATGAATTACTTAATGCCGGCAAAGGCATGAAAAATGTCTAACATTCGTGTTAATTTCTTACCTGTAGCCTGTAATGTTTGCAGAGACTTTCAATTTTCTTGCATTCGACACATGTCCCATTGCCAAGTGCGGACAATGAACGTAGGAAATGCTACAAACAAATCAGACGGCAGCATAAGTCCAAGGACTATTTGACACAACTTATTTGAGTGGCATTTAGAAGTTGGTGTGATGAACAACGGAGAGAGTTATATGCATATACAACTTCTATATTATTAATATGAGTGTAGCTCTCTGTTGTTGTTTCTTACACAGATCGCATTTCAAATATATGCTTTGAATATCAGAATTCCAGAAAATATAGTTCCTTTACCACTTTTTAATCTGTCCTAAAGACCCAACTCTGTAATAATCACTTGCAGTTGTTCATCCATTTTTTGTATGCGCGTAGAGCGTTGCGGTGTGGTGTCATTAGTATAATAAGGCAATATCCACGAGCCTTGCTCATTGCTCAGTGAGGTATAATTGTGCTATAAGTATATAGCAATATTAGAAAAATGAGGGGTTATCTTAACTGAGGCAAAGGATAGAAGATTTTGCAACCAAAGTTGAGTTACATACTCCGTCAGCGTTCCCAACAGCCACCCAAACCACTGGATCCATGCCACCTGAACTAATTGTACGAGTTAACTGTACTATGTGTACCCGCGCCTGCAACACAGAGATAGCAACAGCTAAATGATTTGAAGTGAGTGAGCAGAGGAAGTGACTCTTCAACAATCTTTCAGGCATCACGGTTCTTAACGTTCGCTAGTAAGGAACGCAAGACAACACGGATTAACTGAGGCTCACCTGGGCCTTCAGTCCGTATATGTAAATATAACTTAGTTTAGTCAAATGATATAAAGTATTTTTCAGTGTTGAGGATTAAGTGAAGGGAAGTGTTTCACCAACATGTTGATCCACTTCCGTCAGGTCAGGCCCTTCAACAACAGACTCATTTGTAGCATATCCGTCAGTGAGGAAGATAATTCTTGGCTTGAGGTAGTGGCCATCTATGCTAAGTATTCCTGCTGTGCAATGTAACGAATTAAGCATTAACTGTATTGTAATATTACACATATATGACACTATAGGCAACACTAAACAACTTTTTTCTACTCCAGATAAACCATGCATTGGTAGCACATCCTGATACTAAGAAATGGTCTACAAAACTATGTATTGGTAGCACATATTGTGACTACGGAATAGTCTATAAAACTATGTATTGGTAGCACATGTTCATACTAAGAAATGGTCAACAAATCTATGCATTGGTAGCACATCCTGATACTAAGAAATGGTCTACAAAACTATGTATTGGTAGCACATCCTGATACTAAGGAATGGTCTACAAAACTATGCATTGGTAGCACATACTGATACTAAGTAATGGTCTACAAAACTATGTATTGGTAGCACATGTTGATACTAAGAAATGGTCTACAAATCTATGTATTGGTAGCACATCCTGATACTAAGAAATGGTCTACAAACTATGTATTGGTAGCACATACTGATACTAAGGAATAGTCTACAAAACTATGTATTGTTAGCACATATTGATACTAAGTAATGGTCTACAAAACTATGTATTGTTAGCACATGTTGATACTAAGAAATGGTCTACAAACTATGTATTGGTAGCACATGTTGATACTAAGGAATAGTCTACAAAACTATGTATTGTTAGCACATATTGATACTAAGTAATGGTCTACAAAACTATGTATTGTTAGCACATGTTGATACTAAGAAATGGTCTACAAACTATGTATTGGTAGCACATGTTGATACTAAGGAATGGTCTACAAACTATGTATTGGTAGCACATGTTGATACTAAGGAATAGTCTACAAAACTATGTATTGGTAGCACATGTTGAGACTAAGAAATGGTCTACAAACTATGTATTGGTAGCACATATTGATACTAAGAAATGGTCTACAAAACTATGTATTGTTAGCACATGTTGATACTAAGAAATGGTCTACAAACTATGTATTGGTAGCACATGTTGATACTAAGGAATAGTCTACAAAACTATGTATTGTTAGCACATATTGATACTAAGTAATGGTCTACAAAACTATGTATTGTTAGCACATATTGATACTAAGAAATGGTCTACAAACTATGTATTGGTAGCACATGTTGATACTAAGGAATAGTCTACAAAACTATGTATTGGTAGCACATACTGATAATAAGGAATAGTCTACAAAACTATGTATTGGTAGCACATGTTGATACTAAGTAATGGTCTACAAAACTCTGCATTGGTAGCACATATTGATACTAAGAAATAGTCTACAAAACTATGTATTGGTAGCACATGCTGATACTAAGAAATGGTCTACAAAACTATGTATTGGGAGCACATACTGATAATAAGGAATAGTTTGCAAAACTATGTATTGGTAGCACATACTAATACTAAGGACCGTTTTTTATGCATTGAAATGCCCTGCATATGTTAACATTTAACATATTAGTCTTGACATTTCTTTTTCCATGTTCGGTTTTATTTGAAAAATGTCAGCATGATTTAGATATTAGATGTTTCTCGGATGAATTGTGTAGAACACGAGAGGCAATACGAAGGAGTGAATACGTACCAGTCTCTTTAATAGCAGCAATGCAAACCACCAAAGCTTCGATAATAGGACTTCTTCCTCCAATGCAAAGGCCATCTGGAAATGAAGACTGAATGCTATGATGCTGTTTTGTAATGGCTTCAAATGTGATTTGTGATAACATTTTATCAAAATGGTATGTTATAATGTGTTGTTAGTATCGTTTTTATCATGTTTTGTTATGACTGTTTACATAATGGGTTACTGGAATGTGCCATCATGGTGTGTAATCGTTTGTTATAATAGTTATGTTCAAATATCATCTGTTCAAAATTTCGTGTCGTTTTACACACTGTGACCAACAATTTACCAGGAAACCTGTATTAAGGAATTCAGTGTGAAACCAACACACAAAAAACAAAAAAAAAGCAAATGTTAATAAACTGTGCAGGTGCAATTAACCTTTGAATCAAGTAATTGCCAATGTGTAAATACCATTATATTTGAAATTACTGTAGAGTAAACACAGGTATGGAAGTAGAGAAACATCTTTGATCTCAAAGATCTTTGGTCGCGCTTTCAAAACAAGCCTAGGCTGGATGTCAACGTTGAAGATAACCATCTGCACCGAGTAAGATGTGAGATAACAGAAGCAAGCCTGTCACTGCGACTAAATATAATTGAAAGGCTTCCAGAAGTTTCGAAAGTAATCCCGATACGTCTACTTGTCTACTGACCCTTAGCAAATGCACATGCGAGCACGTATCCCACCATATGACATTTTCTCTAATTGTTTACTTACGATCATATATCATAATAGTTTATTAAAAAAAATTGCGGTAGTCAATTGCAATAGTTTGTCAAAAAAGTTTGTTCGAATGGCGTGTAACAATGGTGTATTCTTGCGAATCGGCACATATATCCCTAAAAGGTCAATTTGAAGCACAGCTGACCAAGTTGTGGAGACGCCACCTGCCTACCTTGTAGTGTAGAGTTGCGTCTATCAACTGAAAGACCTAAAGACCATGAGTTGGTGCTACAGACTATCCTAAATCTCCACAATAATTGTCAAATATTTCAGGTAAACACCGACAACCTTCGCCCATTCCTGCTATTACGTTAATACTTGACCGCCTGTTGAGATAAACCCAGCTGTTATTTCCCTACTATTAACTATTATTTTCCTGCTACTAAGATGACATACTAGGTGTTATGCCTGACTTACTAACCGCTCATACATCTCATTCCTTACCGATAGCATTTCTAATAGCGGTGTAGTCATTGGTCAGTTGTCTGACCACCCTGGCACCTCCTCCCATTACGACCAAGGCCAGATTCTCCTCCAGTCCGTGCTTCTCCGCCATCGCCTCTATACCTAAAGCCATGTTATGGAAATTTAGCATTTCGATATATTTCTGAGGAATACTTCATTTTAAAGACATTCATAAAACGAGGTAAAGTATTCCACGGTACGCTTAAACCCCGTAAACAACGAAACAAAACTAGAACAATAAATATCAGTCAGTTCTGTTAAATAACAAAGTTACACAAACTGTAGACAGCAATACGAATTCAGTGACTACTTCCAGTAAATTAATGCAACAAATGTCCTTCCCATTCTTACCAGCTGGTCAGGACACAAAAGTGAGTGAGTAAGTTGAGTTTTACGCCGCACTCAGCAATATTCCAGCTATATGGCGGCGGTCTGTAAGTAATCGAGTCTGGACCAGACAATCCAGTGATCAACAACAACAGCATCGATCTGCGCAATTGGGAACCAATGACATGTGTCAACCAAGTCAGCGAGCCGGACCACCCGATCCCGTTAGTCGCCTCTGACGACAAACATGGGTTACTGAAGGCCTTCACGGGTCTCAGAACACAAAAGCCAGCCAGGGGTCATAGGAGTAGGTTTCTGCAAGCATGAGTGGTTAAGAATAACTTATACTGAGGACATACAGTGGTGGGGTTTTGAACACATTAAGGACATTTATCAATAACTCATATTGATCATGTTAAGTTTTAGAAGACCTAGGGAAATACTTGTGTATATGTGGTCTTGACTCATGTTTCCATGGGATTACACTTATAAGAGGGGTTCACATAGTCTGATGGAAACTGCTAATTGCCAGACGTTCATGCTATGGAAACTGCTGACTTTGTGTGCTGGCGATTAGGTGCCTCTGGGAGTGTGGGTTCAAATCTCGGATGTGACTCACTCCAGAAAAGTGCAAGACTCTGTGTTCACTGGGACATTGTAATTCTCAATATAGCGTATGCTACATTTACCTATCTTACCATTGACAGCAATATACAATATAATTACTGACCATCTACAAACTTGTGTGCTGCTTGCTTCACTTCCTTAAACCCTTCTTGCCCCAAGCTCTCAGAAACGTCCAAACACAACACGGTGCACAGTGCCTTAGCTCTAAGTGGCTCTGGGTCTTCTGGAAATGCGAGAAGGTGTAGTTTCATAACCAAGTGTTTCCATATATGTTAAGATATATATGTCAAGATATATATGTCAAGATATATATGTCAAGATTTATTAAAGAAGCAGAAACTAATGAATACTGACTTCGGGTATATATTAGCTTACCTGGTTCTAATGCCACAGCAACAGAAGTTGCTAGACGGTTTAATCCATTCCCACAAACAGGCAGGTTCTTTAACAACAATTCTGCGCGTTCATAGTTCTCTGAAAGGGATTTGTATTGCTTAGTACATACACAGAGTATATGTTGTGTTAGTTATCGGAACGGTACCGCGTATTGTGCAAGTGTTGTGTTGTAGTAATGTCGATAAAACAATTACGCGATTACAAGCAAACTTTGGACAATCGATTACGCATATTTAGATATGAAAGTAAAAGTGTATGTCGTTTTACCAAACTCATGTATTTAAGTTGAATTTAAAATATTCCAATGACCGATGTCGGGATTTTAATAACAAAACTATTACTTGCTACTGCCAGATCAAGTCGCTTCTGTAGTCTTATGTGTTCCGGACTGAAAGAAATCATAGCCAAAATCAAATATGATTGTTAACTATTATTTTACAAGATTAGAAATGATAAAGTTAAAGGGAGGCAAAATTTAAAATACCATTATTGGATCGAGCGTACCGACGATGAACACAGAACTGACATTCAGATTGGAGTACATACATTTCCCTGAAAGATTCCTTGCCGGTGCTGTGATGTTGTCGTTGTATGTCATCTCTTTGATCACGTGGTTTGGATTCTGCATGTGATGGTTTTGTTTGGCCATGTAGTTTCGGAACTTCTGTCATCAAATATGCTTTACCACAGGAAACTTTTGATCTGATAATAAAAGAATGGGTGGGAAATAATGTTCCGACCATTAGTAACGCTGTTGTAGAGACCAAAAAGATACAAGTGGACATCGTCACATCGTAGTGCTCAATTCCAATGTATAGCTGGCCCTGTTCTCAATTTGACTCACAGATATTAATACCTGGTTCAGGTCAAAATGCAGATATACGTGTGAAAAATCGTTTGTCGGAATATTTCCATGGTATGAATTCATAATTTTACATCCGTTTCATTATGTCAAAATCAGTATGGTTTCTGACCTTAGATATCTAGGCCTCGGGTCAAAATCATTCTGTTTAACCTAGACATGTGGTCATTCTCCTGGATGTTGCTTCAATTTAACAGGATTATAGCCATCGAAAATTGTTATATACTGACGGCAGTTCGGACTCCGAGTTATGAAACCTGATACTCGTTACTGAGTGGGTTTACTGAATGGGGTTACTTCTGGTGATCCTTTCTAAACACTGGTTGATGATTTGGTGTAGACATTTGTCAGACTAACCCCATGACACCATCCTCTGTTACATTTTCGTCAAAGGAAGGCCAGCACTCAGGTAAGGTCGCTGTTGCCACTGCTGATACTGGAGCTTCAGGGGTTCCTAGACTGTATTTCTCCGGTAGTATAATGGTCGTCAGCTGTTCTTCTGTCTGACTCATTGGTGTGAACGTTGACACGTGAGTTTCGCTGAGGACCTTGTCCGACATTTTCTGCAGTATGTTCTTCATTTCAGACACTGCCTCTCGAAGCTGCTTCAGTTCCATCTCAATACCGTCAATCCTGCTACTCGGTATGTGTGACTCGCTTCTGTCATCCGATGGATAATTCCCACTGGGTTCTTTAACAGAAGGGGGCGGTGGGGTAGCCTAGTGGTTAAAGCGTTGGCTCGTCACGCCGAAGACCCAGGTTCGAATCCCCACATGGGTACAATGTGTGATGCCCATTTCTGGTGTCCCCGCCGTGATGTTGCTGGAATATTGCTAAAAGCGGCGTAAAACCAAACTCAGTCAGTCAGTCTTTAACAGAAGTATGCAGGTGAAACAAAATCGATATTTAGCATCCACAATTCGAAACATGTATTCTACATGTTCAATGCATGTTATATTTTATATTAGTAGTGACCATATTTGTTAAATTGGAAACATATTTAACAAAAGTGCCGTGATTTGAGGAAGTCACCAAAAATATCCTTACCCTCAACCGAACTTTGAATCCACTGCCGTGACCTGACATCCCTTGAAAATCAAAGAACATGGTTGACACAGATCACACCCTGTTGTAAGTGTCTAGGGACATGTCTAGATTCTAGATTACTGCCATACAGCTCCGAATGCTCGGGAATGTATATACTAATTGCACACGCATATTGTTCACCAAGTGTTCTGTCTGAAAGTCCCCAAAACCTCTTGCATTAGTTGCTAATACTATTGTTGCCTTCTTCTATTCTCGCATGTCAATGTTGCACGAGGAAACAATACCAGTTTCACAATGTAAATAACAATCATGAACATGGTATTACACATGAACGAAGTTAACAGTTGTATATGTAATTGTAATGTATTGTAAAACAATATTGTAACTGTATTGCATCGTTTTTGTTAAGATTCAGCAGAAGATCATAACATTGCGTGTTAACAACAATTAGTTGTCAGGCACGTATTACTGTTTCATGTAAGCTAAGCTGATATTATTATCAGACTCCGACGCTGTTACTTCCTGGTTGTTATTGTATTTGATACTGCCACTGTAAGTGTACTGCCAGTGAACTGTACACAGCCAGTTTACTGTGGAAAATCATTTAGATTAGTATGCAGTAAGTTGTATTTTCATGTTAAGGTTTTTTGTACAACATGTCTTCTTTGTTGGTTGGTTTAAGACTGGATATTTTTGCGTACAGATTTCTAGGTTCACTTTTTGCTTCAAATTAGAAGTCGAGTCGTAATATCACCATAATATCGACCTCCACCCTGGGAACAAAATAGCTAATCACAATTGCATTTCCCTACAACTTACAACTATCGATCTATGAACTATCACATTCCTTAAAAGCACTCATGGAAAGTGTTTATCCCTATGCCATCCTCATGACATGATGACGTCATTCGAATTTTATTGCAACGTAAGGTCGAGGTGACGTCACAAGAAATGATGTCATAGCTGGATTCTGTTCACAACTGTGGTTTTCGAAGACGTAGGTCGTGATCAGTGAATTTTGCTCAAGAAGAGCACAAAAAGGAATAGCGAATTCGGTAGGACGCCAGTAGGACGCATATGCTCGTATTATCAAATTATTACTAGTGTTCCAATATGCATACTTCGTGATTCAGTAACAGCCAATTACTGCCTATAACTCCAGTCACTGGTGAGAAAGGGTTTCTTGAAGGAACGTTAGTCACTTGCGTCCATCCAATTTGCAATTTAGTATACGGTGTATCAAATGTAACTAAAAACAATTGGTTGGTTTGTTGTTTAACGCCTCACTCAGCAATATTCCAGCTTTATGACGGCGGCCTGTAAATAATCGTCTCTTGGCTAGACAATGCAGTGATCAACAGAATGAGCATCAATCTACGCAACTGGGATATGATGACATGTGTCAACCAAGTCAGCGAGCCTGACCACCGATCCCGTTAGTCGCCTCTTACCACAAGCATGGGTTATTGAAGACCTATTCTAACCCTGACGTTCACGGGTCTCTAACATACTGAGAAGTTGGTATAGGACAGCATATACTGATCTATATGTATTGAAGTTAGTTTGTCTAACTTTGTCATTTGTCCTAAGCAGATCTTATTAACATCCCCAAACGTGATTTCAACTGATTGTTGTAAATTATCTTTAACTAGTTTTTGTCGTTCTACTCCTGACCATTTCAGTCACTAAATCCAAAAACAAAATCTCCAGTTTAACAAGTACAATTAATAATCATGCATACCTATTAGAACAACTCCAAGAACAACTAATACATCAGGATGTACAAAACAACCAAACAGCTGACGCTACATCTGCAATTCCTGTTGTGTTTCATTATATATATAATATGAAGCAATAAGTAATAGCAACAAAGAACCGTTCATGTCATTTTGTCACTCTTGTCGACTCGTCCGAACACCCTTGTCGGGTTATTCCCGACAGTCATGTCGGACTATTCCGACCAAACGGTGTGCTTTAAAAACTTAGTTGTGTCATTGTTTGGACGGATTATATCTATATCTGTCTGCATATGCAAACTATATCAGTATATCTGTCTGCATATGCTAACTATATAGTATATCTATCTGCATATGCTAACAATATCTGTATGTCTCTATATGCTAACAATATCTGTATGTCTCTGTATGCTAACTATATCAGTATATCTGTCTGCATATGCTAAGAATATCTGTATGTCTCTATATGCTAACAATATCTGTATATCTGTCTGTATATGCTACCAATAGCTGTATATCTGTCTGTATATGCTAACAATATCTGTATATCTGTCTGTATATGCTACCAATAGCTGTATATCTGTCTGTATATGCAAACAATATCTGTATATTTGTCTGCATATGCTAACAATATCTGTATGTCTCTATATGATAACAATAGCTGTATATCTGTCTGAATAGGCTCTGTATATGCTAACAATATCTGTATATCTGTCTGCATATGCTAACAATATCTGTATGTCTCTATATGCTAACAATAGCTGTATATATGTCTGTATATGCTAACAATAGCTGTATATCTGTCTGCATATGCTAACTATATCTGTATATTTCTCTGTATATGCTAACAATATATCTGTTTGTATATGCCAACAATATATGTATATCTGTCTGTATATGCTAACAATATCTGCATATATGTCTGTATATGTAAACAATATCTGTATATCTGTCTGTATATGCTAACAATATTTGTATATCTGTATATGCTAACAATATTAGTATATCTGTCTGTATATGCTAACAATAGCTGTATCTATGTCTGTATATGCTAACAATAGCTGTATATCTGTCTGCATATGCTAACTATATCTGTATATTTCTCTGTATATGCTAACAATACCTGTATATCTGTATATATATGCTAACAATATCTGTATATCTGTCTGTATATGCTAACAATATCTGTATATATGTCTGTATATGCTAACAATATATGTATATCTGCCTGTAAATGCTAACAATATATGTATCTCTGTCTGTATATGCTAACAATATCTGTATATCTGCCTGTATATATCTGTATATCTGCCTGTATATGCTAACAATATCTGCATATATGTCTGTGTATGCTAACAATAGCTGTATATCTGTCTGTATATGCTAACAATACATGTATATCTGTCTGTATATGCTAACCATATCTGCATATATGTCTGTATATGCAAACAATATCTGTATATCTGTATGTGTATGCTAACAATATTTATATATCTGTATATGCTAACAATATCTGTATATCTGTCTGTATATGCAAACAATATTTGTATATCTGTCTGCATATGCTAACAATATTTGTATATCTGTCTGTAGATGCTAACAATATTTGTATATCTGTCTGCATATGCTAACTATATCAGTATATCTGTCTGCATATGCTAACAATATCTGTATGTCTCTAAATGCTACCTATGTCTGTATATCTGTCGGTATATGCTAACAAAATCTGTATATCTGTCTGTATATGCTAATAATAGCTGTATATATGTCTGTATATGCTAACAATAGCTGTATATCTGTCTGCATATGCTAACTATATCAGTATATCTGTCTGCATATGCTAACTATATCTGTATATTTCTCTGTATATGCTAACAATACCTGTATATCTGTATATATATGCCAACAATATCTGTATATCTGTCTGTATATGCTAACAATATCTGTATATCTGTCTGTATATGCTAACAATATATGTATATCTGCCTGTATATGCTAACAATATATGTATCTCTGTCTGTATATGCTAACAATATCTGTATATCTGCCTGTATATATCTGTATATCTGCCTGTATATGCTAACAATATCTGCATACATGTCTGTGTATGCTAACAATAGCTGTATATCTGTCTGTATATGCCAATAATATATGTATATCTGTCTGTATATGCTAGCAAAATCTGCATATATGTCTGTTTATGCAAACAATATCTGTATATCTGTCTGTATATGCTAACAATATTTGTATATCCGTATATGCTAACAATATCTGTATATCTGTCTGTATATGCGTACAATATTTGTATATCTGTCTGCATATGCTAACAATATTTGTATATCTGTCTGTAGATCCTAACAATATTTGTATATCTGTCTGCATATGCTAACAATATCTGTATATCTGTCTGTATATGCTAACAATATTTGTATATCTGTCTGTATATGCTAACAATAGCTGTACATATCTCTGTATATGCTAACAATAGCTGTATATCTGTCTGCATATGCTAACTATATCAGTATATCTGTCTGTAGATCCAAACAATATTTGTATATCTGTCTGCATATGCTAACTATATCAGTATATCTGTCTGCATATGCTAACTATATCTGTATATTTCTCTGTATATGCTTACAATACCTGTATATCTGTATATATATGCTAACAATATCTGTATATCTGTCTGTATGTGCTAACAATATCTGTATATATGTCTGTATATGCTAACAATATATGTATATCTGCCTGTATATGCTAACAATATATGTATCTCTGTCTGTATATGCTAACAATATCTGTATATCTGCCTGTATATATCTATATATCTGCCTGTATATGCTAACAATATCTGCATATATGTCTGTATATGCTAACAATAGCTGTATAGCTGTCTGTATATGCTAACAACAGCTGTATATCTGTCTGTATAGGCTCACAATATCTGTATATCTGTCTGTATAGGCCCACAATATCTGTATATCTGTCTGTTTATGCAAACAATATCTGTATATCTGTCTGTATATGCTAACTATATCACTATACCTGTCTGTATATGCTAACAATATTTGTATATCTGTCTGTATATGCTTACAACAGCTTTATATCTGTCTGTATATGCTAACAATAGCTGTATATCTGTCTGCATATGCTAATTATATCAGTGTATCTGTCTGTATATGCAAACAATATTTGTATATCTGTCTGCATATGCTAACAATATTTGTATATCTGTCTGTAGATGCTAACAATATTTGTATATCTGTCTGCATATGCTAACTATATCAGTATATCTGTCTGCATATGCTAACAATATCTGTATGTCTCTAAATGCTACCTATGTCTGTATATCTGTCAGTATATGCTAACAAAATCTGTATATCTGTCTGTATATGCTAATAATAGCTGTATATATGTCTGTATATGCTAACAATAGCTGTATATCTGTCTGCATATGCTAACTATATCAGTAT